CTTTGGAGAGACAATAGCTCTGTTCTGGAAAGTTGCACTGGCCCTTTTTAGCTGAGTTTGCTTCCTTAGAGAAAGGCCACTCGTTTAAAGCTTCCTTTAATGAGGATATTGGTAAATCAGCAATCAGGTAAGTGGGATTCCTCCAAACTCTCCTAAAGACCTTCTTATCTGGAGCATAGAATTGCACGGCAGTTACCTGAGCTTTTTGCATGCTAGGCTCAGTGGCATTAATATGCTGGCAGCGATTAATTACCGCAGCCCGGTGATGTGATTGTGTGCTTGAGCAATTGGATTAGACACAGCTGGATGGAGACTTCACTTTCACTGGTTCTTGCCGAAGTGGTGGTGTAGTTGGCCACAGAGGAAGAGTCATTTCTTAGGGCAGCCATGCTCCTGCTGCCAGGACTCTGGCCCCACACTTCTGATTCCACGGTGGGCAGAAGGAAAGGTCTCTGGGAAGATGTGTGGCTGGGAGTAGCTACTTTGTCCTCCTCTCAGTCCTTTCTTTCAGTCCTTGCTCCCATCTTCTGTCTGCGCTATTCTGTGTTCCTGAATAAAGAAGGTAGAGCATGTCCTTAACATGTCAGTGGGCCTTGTAGCTGCATGGAGCAGGAGCAAGCTCCAGCACTGTCTTGACAAGTCAGCATCATATCAAGCTCAGCATCATATCAACAAACTTCACCAAGCAGGCCCAGTTCCTTGTCTCTGAGATGGGGGTTTGGCACTGGAGATCAGGCATCAACATTGGCACGTGCACCGAATGCTAGGACTGAAGCAGATGTTGATACTGACTTTGATGTTTCATCCAACACTCTGGAGGCTCAAAGTTGAGACCAAAAGAGCTCTCACAGAAGCAAGAGGATAAAGTCAGTCCTTTCAGAAGATCAGACAGAAACGAAACATCCTGAAATTCAGGACTAACCTGAACTTTCATGTTTGTTCTGTGAAACTGGGCAGTACAGATCCTGCTGGAAGAAGGAGCACTGTGCCATGTAGAGAAGCTGGGGTGGTCCAGCCTTCCCTCATAACTCAAAAGTGCTGTCTAAGTCAGTCAGCCCTACGGCCTGATGCTTCCCAGAGATCAGCAGAAGACCACCTGCAGAATGCCATCTGCGTTTGGGTTTTGGCCCTGTTTTGAGCTTGTGGGAAACTGTGTGAAACGTTGAGATTTTTGCTCCCAGAGAGCTCCAGCTCCTTGCCACTCATTGGTCATGGACAATGATCCAGAACACTGACTTTTTCCGCATATAACTGGGATGGTGTCTCAAACAAACGAGTCTGGGTTTTGCCCATGGTAGTACCATGTGAAATGGTGTGGGCTCTTGAACTTGACAGAGGCACCATGCAGGTCCCCAGTGCTTGTTCCAGCCCCGCTGCAGGTAACGTTCCCTCTGTTCTGCAGCTGCATCGAGACCTGCAGTACTGGTGGCCAGTGGACTTGCTGAGCAGCACTAATGGCTTTTAGGCAGAGGACCTCCTATCCCAAAAACTGTTTGGCCTTGAAGCAATAGTCCATGTGGACCCTCAGCACCAGGGGGCAATGCCTTGTTCCAGCTGTCTGTAGAGCTGTACCACCCTGCCTTTCCTCCTTAGCACACAGTGTGAGAGGCTGGCAGTGTTTCAGCTTCTGTCAATTGTTTGGTGAGGTGGAGCTGTGTTAAGAGGGGTTTTTTTTGGTGGTGTAAGTTTGTTCTCATCTCTTCTGTGTGGTGTTTTTTTTTTTTGTTATCAGCTACTGAATTCCTCCTATACCTCCTGTGTGCTCCGCTTCCATATGCGGAGATTGTTCTTCTGTAGTTCCCCTAAAATGAAATTCTGAATTTGTGCAACATGCAAGTGTCACACAAGATCTTAATGGCCAGTGCGTGAGTTGCTTGGCTGAGGGGGAGGTATCAGATGGGCAGTGTTTGTTGCCTGCTCTGATAATTGTTTCTGAAATGAGTGATGACTTCATCTTCCTCTCCTGCTCACCACAGATATCAAGAACCAGCTCCTTTCTGCCCAAATACTCCTCTCCATCCAAGAAAAACGCCCCAGGCCAGATCACATAATTTGGCTGAGCAACACAGAGCTGCACCATGCTTGTGCATGAGCCCCACTGCAGCTGTAACAGGCCAGGGGCAGGGGCTGGCCTGAAGACGTGGTGCTGAACCTCTCCAGGCATCTTTACAGCTCCGTGTGGTTGTACGCTGGGTGTCTGTGTGTCTGGTTGTCTGGGGCGTTTCTCCTCTGCTCAGGTGTGGAGGCTCAGTGCAGCTGTGAGAGGCAGCCATGTTTCCATGCTGATAGCATCTTGGCCCCACAGCAGCCACAGGGCTGCCGGGTTCTGCTGCTGCCACCACATTCCTCCCCCAGCTCCCGGCAAGTCTCCGATCCTGCCTGTACTTGCTGTGCGGATTGCTTTCTAGTCCCTCATGCAGCAGGACTTTCCAACAAGCAGGCTTCAGGAGAAGTAGCTCGTGGACAAGGTGTCATCACTGCAGTGTCTGTACCCTGGACTCCACAGAGGCTGAAGGTGGTGGTTCCTTTTTCTGCTTATTTAAGGCACTGTGCTGGGATGAGAATCCCCCGGTTTCCTGCTGTGACGATCAGTGGCCTCCTCAGGACCTCTTGCAGAAGGCTGTTCCATCTCTGTAGTTCATTCACAGCCTGTTGGATATTCTCCACCAGACATCTGCTTGCTGAGGTGACTCTGGGTTCATCCACAATCAGTTGGTGTGTGCCAGACTCATCCTTCAACCATGCAGGGAGCTGGTAGGAGAGATGTGACTTGTCCTTACCTGCCCAGCCACTTCACCTTTCATGATAACAACCTCTGGAGAAGCAGCTCAGGCTTCTCACTCCAGGTGAAGACCACGATGTGCTCAGTTGCTTTTGGGAAGAGCCCGGACTTGGCTTTCCTGTTGTTTCGTCTGGTGTATTCCTGTCCCGGTTGGTTCAGGCAGTCGGAAGGACAACAGCAGTGAGGCAATGGGCTTTCTTCTGGTGCCACATCTCACACCAACCATCCTCCCATCTGTCTTGTGGTTTCCAGCAATGTTATTCTGCCTCCGCTGTTTCTTTTGCCTTTCACTTGAGACAGGCTTTCCGCAACTGGCAGTGGTCAGATCAGATGTCTGCCTTGTGGATGCTGTAGCCAGAAGTTCTTGCATTCAGCTCATGATTTCTGCTACCCACAACCCCCTTTTGCTAGCTGTGACTGTGCTCACTGGACCCGGTACCTTGGGATGGGAGATGTCAGCCCCTCTGCATGAGTGGTTTGTTGTGAAAAGGCCCATCAAGGGGTGAGGATGTGCCAGTCCTTGCGCTCTGCCTCTCAGCTTCTCTGGAGTGCAGGTTTTAGGGTAAGCAACCGAATCTTATCTCTCCTATTATTCCTAGACCCTGCTGTGATAACCTTGGGCTTGGTTGCCTGTGTGGACAGGCCCTCTGCCTGCTTCTGCAAGCCTGCGGTGGGCAATACAGGCTTGCCTGGCTGCAGCGCAGCGGGTCGGCTGGTCCTGCTGTAGTGCTGCCCCAGGAGCTCTGAAAGGGCAAGATGCAGTGGGATTTCCCTTCCTACCCGCTCTGGCTCCAGGGTCTCTCGGGGCGGCCTGGTGTGCATCACACAACACAGCTGGAACAGGCTAAAATGAATCGGAGCTGTGCTCAGAGGACTGGGAGCCAGGGGTTAGAAGTTGGGCTGGGTCTGCTCTGGGAATTTGGAGCTGCTTCTCAGCCTGGAAAAAAGGAGTTGGTTCAAGATGTGAAAGTGCCTGGCCTGAGGAAGCCCAGTCCCATGTGGTCCCAGGGGTCTGAGCAACACCCGCTTAGTCTGTGCGTCTGTCTTCCAGTCTGCATAACTCACTGCCCCGCCCGTTACTGCACATTAGTTAGAGGGCTGTGCTAGCTGCAAACCGAGATGCTCGAGTAGGCAGCACGACTTCCCCCAGGGCCTCAAATGGCTCTGTCCTCTTTCATGAACCCATTTGCTCTCCTGTGAAGAGGCTGTGAAGGGGGACATGGTGGGGGTGTGTACAGATCCGTGACTCCTGTGTGCCGTGGCTGAACGCAGTCTGGAGGGAGAAGCAGCTGGGGAAGCGAAGGAAATAATGCACCAAAGGAGCAGAGGGAAGAAAGGAGAGCTGTGATCCAGGGGACCAGAGAGAGGGTGGGGATGGGGAGGAAGCAGGTGAAAGAAGAAAACAAAGTGAGGGAGATCTGGAGATGTTTCTTGGCAGAGTGCAGGGAGGGACAAGCTGTGCAAGCAGGAGGGAGCTGGACGGTGGGTAGCAGTGTGGGATGCAGTGTGTGCGTAGCTTACTCCAGTCTGATTTTGGGGTGCATATTGCTGTCCCCCAAATCAAGTCTAAGCACACTAATACCAAAAGCTGGAACTGAGAGGAGACCTGGCTTGAAAGCCAGGCTCATGGGTCAGAAGAGCAGAAGCATCTGTCGTGCATCAAGCTGTCAAGATGGCAGTTTTGGAGTACCGGAGGTTTCTTGGGACCTTCATACTGTGTAAATGGCATTTAAATCCACTGATGCCCCAGCCTGACTTCAGCTTGCCTTGAAAGGTCACCTGTTACTGCTGTGCTGTGGCTTTGGTTGTATCTGCCCCATCTCCCTGCCAGTGGCTATCTCGGGATGCTGTGGCTCCACAGCAGCAGAAACATGGTTGTGTCCTTGGAAAAGCAGGAGGATCTTGTTTCTTTAAGGATGCTGTACGTCAGAAGAGAAGCTGAGAAGCTCTTGCTCTCTTTAGTGGCAGTGGTAACTCTTCCAGTTAAATCAAAAAGCCGAAACAAAGAGGGTAGTGTGGCAGGTAGCCGTCTAGTCCATTGCAAGGAGGTCTGTGTGTGTTAGCTGGCTGGCTTGGATATCGTAATTAATGTGCTGATTGGGTTTCCTTTGTTTAACCAGGTTCCCAGGACTCCTAGGATGAGGCTGCTGTGAAGGACTGGTGGATCCCCTGCCTACGCTGCGGTGCCTGCAGATTCCCTGTGGTCCCCTTTCCGGCTGGAGCACCGTTGCCGAGGCTGCCGGGAAGAATGACTGTTGGATGCCTACTGCAGCCCCCTTTCCTGGGGAGGACTTGGCTCCCCGTGCTGCTGCTGGCAGCCTCTGCTCACTGCCACTGGCCCAGCGAGCCGGCAGAAGTGGTTCGGGACTGGGAAAACCAGCTGGAGGCCTCTATGCACTCTGTGCTCTCGGACCTCCGGGAGACTGTGCCGGCTGTGGTGGGCATACCGGACAGCTCTGCTGTGGTGGGACGCTTCTTCAGAGTCTCCATCCCCACGGATTTAATTGCTTCCAATGGAGAAATTGTCCAGGTAAGAAATGCCATTCCCTGAGGCTCATTTTCAGTTATATTCTTGCAGGAGTTGAGCTAGTCACCCCATTAACAGGCTGGGTCACAAGGGTGCTGTGAAGCAGCCTTAAGGTTTTGTAGGACTATGGGAGAAGGATTTAAAAAAAAAAAAAAAATTAAAGCCCCCCTTTTTTTGCAAAGTTCCTTTCCCTTGAAAAAA